CCAGTGGTCAGATTTCTCAATACCGACGAGCTTGACGTGAGGGTTTATGCTCAGAAAGGAATAAAAGAGGAAGAAGGCTATTTAGAGTGTCTGAGGAAAGTGTACATTCACCTCTCGAGGATAAGGGAACTGCTTTGAAGCTTGCATGAGAAAGTGACTTGGGGGAAACGAGTCAGGAAATTTGAAAGACTCCCTAGCTTTCTAACTACGGATAGCTTCACTGACATGAGAGATTGAGCGTCTCTTCTAGAAGCTATTGCCGTGGTTGATAAAGCAAGAGAAAATGACTTAGTCATGCGACCAAAGACGCTGTTTCTTGACACCTTTGTTCGACGATTTAAAGTCCAAGACGAGGCTTCTTCTGAATTTTCCCTCACCTAACAATGGAAAGGAGCTTGTTATGGCCGAGGAGTATGCTGGTTTCCTAGAAAGCAGGCATAGTTGGGAAAAGGCTGAAGGAAAGGAACTACCAGTTATTAATTCTTCGGTCATCTCGCGCTTACTCAGGGATTTAGAGCCCCTCACGGTAGGAGGAGCATTTCCTTATGAGATTGAGAGATACACTGTCTTAGCCATACCTGATGCAGAGGAGAAAGTGTATGTGTTAGTAGCTCGCTTCCTAGAGACTAATGAATATGACGTGTGTATATACACTCCAGTGACTAGGAAGATTTGGCGGCGGTTTACTGGGTGTCACAAGTGGGCACTTAGTCACGTCAGTAAATACAGAGACGAACTTAAGAAGGAGGGTAAGAAAGTTACCTGGAGTGTGGAGCCTACTGAGTACGAGGGTTTTTCAAACCCTCCTATTCCAGATAGCTTCGTCAATGGTGAAGACAGGGAGCCTATTCTTAATGCCGTTTTGAGAGATAGGAAGTGGAGTAGTGTCAACATTGACGATTCAGGCGCTGGATAGGATTAGACGGATCATGGGGGTCGCTAGGGACTAGGCAAATGTCTGGTTACTGTCCGGCAGTCACGACAGCACTAGACGCCTTGGTTCCATTTACCAGTGGAGGAGTCTTTCCCTACAAGATAGAGCGCTGCATATCCCTGGAGGAGAAGCATGCCCCGGGGAAGGCGTACGTTCTTGTAGTGAAGTTCCTCGACACAGGTGAGTATGATATCCGGCCCTATGTCCCTTCACTAAGAGAGAAGGGGACAGATCGTGAATCTCTTCGTAATTGGATCAGTAGTGTAATTCGTCAAGAAAGAAGAGAGTTAGAAAGAAAATGAGCAATATGATGGAACCAAGGTTAGGGGGTTCATGGAAGACTATGATGTCTTCGGTATGAGTCACGGTTGGTCGGACAAGCAGAAGTTAAAAGTTCTTCTAGCCTATGTTGAGCCTAAGATGAGGGTGTCGGTGACAAAAACGACACAAAACTGACAGCATGGGTCGAGGTTAGACAAAAAATGCTGGAAGAATATGCGAAGTATGACGTTCCAACAACCACGCAAAATTTGTTGGAAGTGCGACGTTCAAAATATGCAACCCTTGATCAATTCCTAGAGGATTTTGAGCGGGTTGCGCGGAGAGTACCCTTCCTGGATGAGGCCCAGAAGTGTCATGTCCTGCTAACTAATTTTGCTGAGGATGAAAAAAAAAGTGTGGTAAGCCGCGCTGCTCATTATCCTCTGAAGTGGGATGAAGTGGTTGAGATGGTCCGTGAACTACCTTCGGTGTCAAACCGGAACTGGTCTCTGGAACAGATGAAAGCAATCACTAGTGCAAGAGAGAGAAATGTTGAGGCAGCTAAGGGAGGAAACTTGAAGGCCAAAGAGATCCTTGGTCTTCTAGTGAAGCTTGGTAGCTTCGGAAAGTTAACCCTTCCTGCCCCTGCAGCTCAAGCACTTGTTGGAGCCGAAGAAGGAAAGGTAAAAAGAAAGAAGGAGAAGCAGAAAAAGGAGATTGAAAGTGAGGATGAGAGTAGTGATGATGACGCTAGACGAATAAGAAAAGAGAGACAAAAGAAGAAGTGTGATCGGGATTGGAAGAAAGATAATAAGAGCCGAGATTTGCAGAGGAGAGATGGCCCCTTCCGATGTTATTATTGTGACGAGGAAGACCATACTATAACTCGGTGCCCTTTACTAGAGAAGGAACTCGAAGAAGGGATTGTCAAGAAGAATGTCAATGGGCACGTCTGTGATGCCAATTGGAACAAGATAGATTTCCGAGTCAAAGGAGGGGTGCGAGCGGTTGTCCTAGAACAGGCTAGGGCCAATAAGGATAAAAAGAAGAAGGCTAAAGTTAATGTTATTACCTTTGATGGCATGCTACCTCGAGAGATAGTGGCTCGAGATGACAATCCTGGAAGTCAAAGTTAGAATGTATCCCATATCAGCCAAAAAGAGGTCGAAGAGAAAAAGCGAGAGAAGGCTCAAAGAGAGCTAGACTAGTTGATAGATGGGACCAAGGACCTAGTGAAGGAAGGGAAAGGAAAGGAAGCCGTCGGGAAGAAGAGAAGGGTGGTCTTGAGATCTGAGGCCGAGGAAGGGATCTCGATAGATGAAGTAGTGAAGAAATTACTCGAGGAAACCGAGATCACCCTATCTTGGAAAGAAGCAGTAGCCCTGGTACCTAAGTTTAGAGAAGAACTTAAAATGATGGTTGAAAGGCGGAAGGTAGAAGTTAATAGCCTAAGACTTTTCCCTCAGCATGTGGAAAGAGCCCCGCCTGGTACCAAGATGAGGTTTGGCAACATGTCGTGTGGATACTTGAATATCTCTATGAATGACGTGAAGGTAAGAGCCCTAGTGGACTCTGGAACTGAGAAGGTACTTATGTCCTCGGCCACAATGAGATCATGTGGACTTGGAATAGACAGGAAGGTCAATCATCAGCTTTCCAATATAGCCGGGTTTCTGTCTTTGGAAGGTTTTATTGATGATTTGCCTATTCCGATTGGGACTCTACGAGCTGAGATCCTCTGTTTTGTGGTCCCCAATTTGGATCGTGATTGTATTCTCGGAGTCCCTTTCCTACATAGAATGGAGGCTTGTGCGTTCTTTGGCCATGATGGGGCAGCCTAACTTTCTCTCCAGGATCCTAACAATGGTCAAGAACAGACCTTTGTGATAAGTGATAGACATCGTCCTCGTCATCAGCGACATGTTAACTCTCTTAAGCATGGAGAATCTGACAAACTGATTGAGGAAGTACGGGCAAAACTGAAAGAGAGTGGAATAATAGACGATAAGACAACGACTAGAGTAAATGATATCGGGAAAATGCTCAAGCTCCTGGATAAAGAGAAGGAGTTGGGCGATAAGAGAGAGATGGAAGGATTCAAGGATGCTGTGAGGGCAGCCAAAGCTGGCACGATGCAGCTCACCTTCTCTGCGACTGGTCCTTTTTTAGGAAAATAGTCACTGGATCTAAGAGTAAGTATAAGCGCAAGGGTGTTAAGAAGAATTCGGTGGCAGTTTTGATAGAGAAAGATTACAATAAGGCATTAGAGAAGGAGAGAAAGATAATTAAAAGGTTAAGAGAGACTGCATTAAAAGGAGGGAGAATTACCCCAGAGAGGTTCAAGATAATGAAGGTAGGAACCGATGACTTCCTTCTGCCGGCTGAGAGGGTTTTCATATATGAATTATGTCAGAAGTACAGTGGTGCCTTTTCTTTTAATGACTAGGAGAGGGGACGACTGGACGTTGACATGATCAAGATGGTCAAGATCTGGACCGTTTCTCACACGCCTTGAAACGACAGACCCACGAAATATGCCCAAAAGGAAGAAAAAAAGGTAATGGAGTACATAAACCAGAAGATCGCCTCCAACGTTGCGGAACCAGCTGATGGAGCTTACACCAATCACTAGTTTTGCTTCTGGAAGCTAGGCGGTGGCCTGCGCTGGATACAAAACTTGCAGAAGTTGAATTCGGTAACGATTCGCGATGCGGGTAACCGACCCAACGCGGATCTGTTAGTCGAATCTTTTGCCGGAAGGAGCATCTACTTCCTAATAGACTTGTTCTCTGGCTATGACCAGTTCCCGATAGATCCTACTAGTCGACCTATGACCGCCATATATACGCCTAGAGGCCTCATACAAATGTGTGTGGTGCCTCAAGGGTGGACGAATTGGGTCGCGGTCGTTCAGCGAGACATGCTGAAGGTCATGGAGGACATATGCCAAAGGTTACGTTTCCATACATTGACGAGAATCCGGTGAAAGGTCCGAAGGAAAAGAATGAGACTTTAGTGGATGGTCGAGTCAGGCAGTTCGTATGGGAACATGCGCAAGGAGTGGCGAAAGTACTAGAAAGGTTGGCTAAATACAACCTAACAGTCAGCAGGCCGAAATCACTACTGTTCCAAAAGGAGGTAACGATCTTGGGTTTTAGGTGCTTCTTGGAAGGAAGAAGTCCTGATCCTAAGAAAGTGGATAAGCTCCTGAACTGATCGATGCCTCTAAAAATGGTTGGGGAAGTAAGGAGTTTCCTAGGGGTCTGCAGCTTCTGGCGGATCTTCATCCCCGGGTTCGCTAAGATAGTCGAGCCCCTTAGAGAAATGGTGCGACAAGGAGCTAGCTTAGAGTGGTCTAACCAAAGAGAGAAGGCTGCGCGGGTACTTCAAGATAAGCTAAGAGATGGTGGGGTCGTATTAGGAGTACCCTACTTCGATGATGAAAGGGAGAGACCCTTCATCATCGAAGCCGATGGCAGCCCGATAGCATTAGGAGGAGTGTTCATGCAGCGAGATGAGAATGGTAAAGAAAGGCCACTTAGATTTGAGAGTCGCACCCTTAATTCGGTCGAGAGAGGCTATATTCAGTTCAGGAAGGAGCTCCTTGCGATCCTCCACTCTCAGGGTATTTAGACACTATGTTATGGGGCGGAGATTCACAGCGGTAATCGGATCTATTAAGAGGTATCAGCAAGTAGATGCTACGGTCAGTAGGTGGATAGCTCACATATGGACGTATGATTTTGTGCTAGAAAAAGTACCTACTGAAAAGAATCGAGCCGATGGATTGAGCCGCGTAGAATGGGGGTCAATAAATGATGAATCTCTTGAGGAGGCACCCTTCGTTGACGAATTCCTTATAGAAGACGATAATGAAGGACTACCTCCAGCTCCCAGTTGTTATACAGCCTCAGCCATAGCATCGAGCAGAGAAGACTGCTGGGGAGAAAAGGAAGACCCTTACCTCCACTACCTTCTAACTCGAGAGGATGAAGAGGAAGGATGGTACGGGATGGTGGAACAAGCCGCGGTTGCAGCTCATGAGCTGGCAGAGAGTTCAAGGATGGTTGAGCGAAGGCTGAATGAGATAGAGGAAGAACGAGAAGACCCTGAGCAAGATAAAGGCGCTGAAGAAAGATTTAGGAAGGATGAGTATGATGGAGAAAATAAGAGGATCGGTATGGTAATGAGCAGTAATCAGTTGGATGAATTCTATCATGAGAAAACAAAGAGAACCTTTAGGCTGCGTAGGGGTCACCTTTTTGTGGATGCTAAGGAAGGACTACCACCACTGAGAGTAGTATGTGGTAAGGAAAGGCAACTAGATGTGATCGCCGCACTGCATGAGGGTCTAGCAGGGGTCCATAGAGGAGCTGATGCTACATACTATAAAGTATCTCGACTATATCACTGGGATGGTCTAAGGGATATGATTATGAGATATTGTAAGTCATGTGAAGCCTGTCAGAAAAGGTCATCTATGAGATTGATTGAAACCTTATACCCCACTGTTCTTGTTGAACCTGGCAGTACTGTTCACCTTGATCTAATTACTATGCCACATGGTAAGGATGGAATGAAATATGTAYTGAACATGAGAGATAACATGTCTGGTTATGTTGAAGCAAAAACCATCCGTAAGAAAATTGCAAAGACAGTGGCAGATTGGATCGAGGAAATCTACCTGAGGTACCCCTTTATACGTGAGTTTGTGGCTGATCAGGGGTCAGAGTTCAAGAACGAGATGGTCAGGAGGCTCATGTTCAGACTTGGAGTCAGGATCAGATTTGTGACACCATATCATCCTCAGGCTAATGCACCAGTGGAAAGAGGTCACAGGACACTGAAGGATGCTATATCAAAATGGTGCCAAGGCAACTCCAGGAACTGGCCATCTTTCTTAAGGGTGGCAATCTATGCTGACAATGTGACTGTCAAACGAACTACAGGTTATGCGCCTATTACACTCTGGTATGACAGGTATGCTACTTCTCCCATTGAGAACCTGGTTGAGACCTGGACCCATGAGGCGCAGAGAGAGTCATACTCCACAGAGGAGTTGCTGAGGTTAAGAATCAGGCAGATCAAGGAAGTGGATGAGACCATAATTGAGGCCACGAAGAGGATGTCAGACAGCAGGTTATCTGATCAGACACGATGGAACAGCAAGAGGTACATCAGGAAGGAACGACTTCAGGTCGGAGATATTGTACTGTTGCATGATACATCTCTCGAGACACAGTGGACCAAGAGATTGGAGGCCAGGTGGATGGGAACATTCAGGATCATCAGAGAGGTTGAAGGCAAGGCCTATGAGTTAGCAGAGATGGATGGTACGAGATCCCATGGTATAGTATCCGGCTCCCGGCTCCGAAAATTCATACTTAGAGACGCAAATTTGATTCCGAGTTCGGACAGAGTGATGAGGCGAGGCCCGAGAGCCGTCTAGCATCAACCCAAACATGTTGAGACGTGGCCAATGTGCCCTTAGCATATGCTGGGATGTGGACAGTGTACCGCCAACTTCAGTTGATGACGATTATATGCTGGGATGTGGACAGTGTGCCGCAAGCTTCAGTTGATGACGATTATGAGATGGGATGCGGACAGTGTTGCCGCCAGCTACAGATGATGATGATTATTGGCTGCGATATGGCCAGTGAGCCGCCAGCTATCGATGATTATGAGCTGGGATGTGGACAGTGTTGCCCCCAGCTACAGATGATGATAATTTGCTGAGATGTGGCCAGTGAGTCGCCCGCTATCGATGATTATGAGCTGGGATGTGGACAGTGTTGTCGCCAGCTACAGATGATGATTATTTGCTGGGATGTGGTCAGTGAGCCGCCAACTATCGATGATTATGAGCTGGGATGTGGACAGTGTTACCGCCAGCTACAGATGATGATGATTATTTGCCTAGGACGTGGCCAATGAGCCGCCAACTATCGATGATGATTATGTCCTAGGACGTGGCCGTGTGCCGCCAATAGCAGCCGACAGTCGGCTGCTATGATTATGGTATGATTTCGGATGCCGGAGCTGGATACGAGCAGCCTGTGATGGCTCGGCTCATTGGTGGACTTATGTGTCTGCCGGGCCCAGATTGGTCTCAATTTTGTATGATTGTGAGTTAAACTTTTAAAATTTCAGTTCATTGCATTGTATCTGGCTTGTCATGTGTCAGTCATGGGACATGCCTGGGGGATTGGGAGCCAGTTTATGGGATTTCAGTTCTTGCCTCTTATTGTATTTTATTTAGTTTGAATGGCATTGTGAAATGAATGGTTGTGGGATAAAGTAAAAATTTGTTTTCTTCCTCTCATAAGTCAGTGCTCAATTGATGGGGCAATCTTCTAGTACGATTGCGTAAGGAGGATTGTCTAGCGTCATCTGGCACAAGTTGATTGGTTGTCTCTGAAAGAGGGTGGTACTTAGCCTAGTGAAGTGTTCCCTGGGCAAGGGACTCAGCATCGTCGAGATGGGGTTCCTCTCCAGACGGGCCTTCGCGGCTAAGCGCTACCAAGCTCTAAAGGGATAGGTAATCAGTCATGTGTCATAATCGATGGAGTGATCTGTCTGATCATGTGATTAGGCAAAGATCACTTCGCATCGCAGCGGATTGAGGCTCGCCGCATTCTTCATGCTGGAAGAAGTGTTCCCACTACAGCCGTCGGGCCCTCGTAACGGTTCCCCGGCGAGAGTCTATCCACAGTGGCGTCCCCGGCCGTGTCAGCACTTGCGTCCTTTATGAAGAGGCAGGGAGTTTTCGACTGCGCCTCTTGAGCAAGAGATAATTCCCTGAAGCAGGTTCTCACAAGGTCCAGAGGCTAGCTGGGTCAGCAGGGTGTCTGAGCCATAGTGGCAGATAACTCCGGACCCTTGGGTGGCTAGCCATTCCTCAGGTCATCGTATGATGATCTGGTCCGCCTGCTCGAAAGGAAGGAGGCATCCTCAGCCTCTCCCAGTCTAAATCCGACATTTGGCTGATCAAGGTGGTGGACTCCTACTATCACTCTGATCGGGGTGTCTCTCAGGAGCAGTGTCTCCAGGGGCATTCCCTTGGCATCGGGCCAAGCCAGGTATCCACAGCCCAGCTGACAACAGGGCCATTATGGCCTCCTAGCCCACTGTTGCAAAGCTTAATTGTGGACTCGCTCTGACTCACCAGCAGTGTCTGGTTGGGTGTGGGCTGGCTCCCCACACAGTAGCAAGAGTCGGGCGTTAGAAAGAAGTCGAGCGAGTAGACGGAAGTTCTGAAGTCGACTAAAGAGCTTCCACGCCATGGGCCTGCATTCATCGGAGTGAGGGTTTCATGAAGGGGTGTGCGGCTCCCCGTGAGCTGTTCTGAGCAAGGGCTCAGAGGGTGGTCGGACCGCCATGACTGGGAATCATCTGACTTTGCTCTGCTTGCCGGGTTGGGTCAGCGGAGGAGCCCACCAGGGCGAGCGGGCGCACTCTCGGAAGGCCGAAAGGTAAGACTCTGAGAGTGAGTGAGGAAGGGGTATAGGCAAGGGTCTTTAGGAGAGACCCTCTTTTCTCGTCTTTTTTTTTTAGGCATGACTTGACATCTGTTTTGCAGGTACCCTACAGCAGACGAAGATAACGGGGTTTGGTATGACTCGACAGTGAGCGGTACATAGCCGGCAGACAAAGAGAAAGGGGTTTGGTATGATCACCCCTTATGAGGCAGCCTTTGGTCTAGGTGACCTTGATGATCCTGGATTCGATGATTGGTCCCATAGCCACCCGTGGTTGAGATATCAATGAGGATTATGCTGTACTGATAGGCAGTATGGATGAGATGGACTGATCCAGTGATGATGAGATGTGCAGGCCAGGATTGAGACTTGGACTGCTAGACCAGACCTAGCGATGGGGTCAGGTCTAAGATTGAGGATCGATCATGATGATGCATGAGGCCAAACCTAATGGAAGGTTTGACTTAAGATCGAGGCTGATTCAGTGATGCAAGGGAACGAGATTGATAGTATGATTGGGCTGCATGAGCAGTCATGATACTTGCGTGCGGTAACTACACCACGCAAGACTGATAAGGTTAATTCCTTCTTGATTTTGATGGTGGCTTGGACCAGTGGTCCATGCCTTATTGAGTGAGCACTCAAGCCCTAGCGGGCGAGCACCCTGATGATTGGGGATACAGTTTATATGATTCCCCTATATATGAGATAGCATATAAGGCCGCTTAGCTCAAGTTGGCATATGAAGAACAATGCAAGTATGAGGCACAAGCGATGGTTGGGCGGCGCAGCCTGGTGGGCGACGGGAAGTTCTGGTGCGCGTGGCAATGGCGGTGGCGCAGGGCGAGGCGGTTGTGGCAGGACGGTGAGCGGATCGAAACGTGGAGGTGGAGAGTTGTAGCACTGCTCATATTTATATGCATAGCACATCATAGACCTAGGCGACGGTGTGCGCTCGCGATGGCGCAGGCGCGTTCCTCCCCATCTCACCTCCTCCTCCTCCTCTTCGGATCTCTCCACTTCGTACGTCAGATCCATCGGTCGATCTGGCGCCTTCCCTTGTCGACCTCCTCTCCCACGTCCAGCGCCCGACCCTCGCGTTTTCGGCGCCATGGCAAAGACTAACTACTTGCGCGGCTATAAGCGTTGCACGATAGTAAGCGCTAGTACGACAAGGGCGCAAGCGAATCGAGAGCGATGAAAACAACAGTAATAGCAAGATTGTGATAGCGCCGCACACTCGACAATATGAGTTCGAGTGCGAATGGTGAGAATGAGTAAGCCATTAGGCCTTTATAGTGGCCTGAACCTGGCGAGGACGCCAGGAATGGGGTTTGGTATGGTTGTCGGAAGATGTTGCGGCGCAGCAGCGGAAATTGACTCGCCGCGGTCAACTTCCGCGCTGCGTCAGAAATTGTGTACCGTAGTCATGGACCCTAGTACTTCGGTTAGACTTC